GAGATGTATTGCAGTATGCTGAACAAGTGTTGCAATTCCAACTCAGACATAAAATTTGCAAGTGAAATTCTTCCACAGGAAAGAGAGAAAAATTGTACTGCAGTGACTCAGATTTTTACAGGGAACTAAACTTTGAAGATTGCAAGTAATATATTTGAATTCAACTCTTTTCCTTCTGCGAATGGCTGTCTGGTGGAGAGGAGGGCTATTTTTAATCACATGCTGCGTGTGACTACTGATTTAGATGTGTGTGTACAAGTGAGTTTTGGAGTGTCTTCAGTAAAGCGATTTTTACAAATTGAATTAAAGCAGTTTCAGTTTAGTCTGGAACCATTTTTAAATGAATACTCAGAGATTCAATGTTTAGGAAATAAACAAGCATGAAGTCATCAAATAATACATTCTTGTGTCCTAATGTTTGTCCGTATTATCATGTGAAAATGTATCAGCTTCACTTTTTGCAGGTCTTGGAAGAACAGAGCACCTGAAGCCAAACCCCATCCCATAACTGTACAAAGTTACTTTCTTCTCTCTCATACACACCCTGTAGCCGTACATTTCCTAGAAATCAAGTCCATGTTTGCGTCCTGGTCTCTCTGGGTTTGTTTTTTTTTGAATCGTATTTCTGGGTTTTTTTGTAGAGAAAAGGACTTCTGAGAAAAGCGAACAAGCCAGCTAACCAAAACTACCCTTACAGTTGCCTCAACAGCCTTCAGTACTGGGGAAAGTCTTGAGAAACCACTTGAGAACTCTACACCACATGGCTGAACACTCCAGATTTATTGACCTTTGTTTCTAAGGGATAAACATGCAGCAAAGCGTGTGTGTGAGTTTGTACTTGCGTGCCCACACGCTGCAGATTGTATTTTTAAGAAAGGGAACCTTGCCATGTCTGATCAAGGCGTTTGGCTGCACGTGCTTCTTTTGAGGGTGCAAGATGTTAGTTATGTTGTTTGATGATGGACGATTCCTGCGAGTGTGGTTGAAGAGCTTGCACAGGCTAGAACTGCTGGAACTCCTGAGCCATTATACGGAGAGGGGCATGCACTCAGCCTTTGGCAAGTGCAAATTCAGCGTGTGCAAGCGATGCGGTTGCTGACCTCCCGCATGCCTCCTGCTAGGTGTTCTCTTGCCTGATGCTTGCCGGGAGTCTAAGATCTGTATGGGGTTCTGCTGGCAAATATTCTAGCCTACTATGTAACGCAGAAGTTGCCTGACACCTAAATCATACCTGATTTCATCTGCTTGGTAGCTGTGTTTTCATGCTCAGAATGGCTCGCTGTCCTCGTTTCCACCAAAGCCAGCAGTTAAGTTGGGAAACTTGGGACTCTGGTGTCTGCTTATTTTTCCAAAGGAGCCCCTGTCATTTTATAGAAACTTTAATTCTTTGACTCGAGTATGGTTTTTATTTCTCTTACTCATAAGACTTGTGTGTGTTTCTGAACTGGTGTACGTGGAATCGGAAAACGAGATGAGAAGGGACATCAGGAGGTGATCTGCTCTGTGCACCAGCCTAAGGACAGGCTGGTCGGTCTACATCTGTGTTAATTTTTGTACACACCAATATTTTCTTTTAAAACCTCTGTGATTAAGATTCTAAAACATCCCTATTCAACACCACTTGTAATACTTAGCTAAGGCAGAGTATCTTCTTTTGATATTTTTAGTACCTAATATGAATTTCCCTTAAGCTTATTAGTTGTCCTATCCACTGCGGGCATGAAAATTACTCTCATTTTATGCAGCAGCCTTTTTGCACATTTGAGTACAAAAGGCTGCACCATTGCATCTCTCTTCCATTTTTATTTCCTTTCTTCAGATAAAGCAGTTACAGTCAATTCCTTTTTTTTTTTTTTCTTTTGTTACCTAGAAACCATGATCACTGCTCCCGACTTCTTCTCTTCCATTTTTCTTAGAACTTTCTTGAAGGATAGACCCCAAAACTATACATAGTACTGCTGGGTTTCTTTTGCAAAGTTGCTTTCTAATAGTGTTTACACAGAGAGGATCAGATATCACAGTCAACTTGTCTTGTAATTCCTCTGGAGCCTGTGGGACTCTTTATGCCTCTGCTGAACTTTGTTCCAGTCTCAAAACAAGCTGTGCAGTGACACCATCTGGTTTATTTTTGCCTATATAATTCTTCCTCATTTAAATTGCTGTTTCAACCTAATTCAGTTTAATCTGCTTTATAAAAACCCTCTGCTTTGCTTGTAATAGCTTTGTTTGTGTCCTCATTTGGTGCTGCCCGCACAGGACTTCTCCTGTTTTCAGAAACAGAATTGACATTTCTCCCACAAGAAAGGTTTGTGGGGAGGGGGGCAATGTATGTTATCAGGCTAACTAATTCTGAAAACGCAGATGAGCTTTTTGGTGCAAGAGACCTTCAGTTCTGAAAGAGCTGCAAACTTTGAAGCTAGACATGGGTTGAGAGCAGTCATTCAGAGTCTAACATAATTAACTTAATCAGATAGTTTAAGAGAATATTTCTGCTGCTTAAGCTTGAAATTATTAATAAAAGAACCATGACAGGGATTTTTTTCCTTGTCATGAATCCCTTAGAGATTCTCCATGATCATGGTTGGTTTAGAAAAGCCTTAAAAAGAACTTAATAATGCAGTAAAAATAAAGGAAAAATCAGAAACAGGGTAGCTCTCATCTCTCTTTTGGTGTTCCATCATGGGCAACTAAAACGGGTAAGCTCTTACTGAAATAGCAATTAGTAAGATTCAGTTGGTTGTATTGTCCATGACTACCATAAAATACAGCATTTCCCAAAGTACAGACATGAAAATCTGATAACTCATTTCTTTGTTTTCCTCTGTAAACAAACACCTATAGCATTTTCCTTCCTAAGGTCATAATTTTTATATTGACAGTCTTACTCACGATAGAACATGCACTTGACCTGTCTTTGCAACATTTGATTATACGGTCCATGATCGGATGAGAAGAAAAATCAGTTACCTCAGTCAAAGCTGGTGAAGAATAATGAAAGGGAAAAAGATGAGGGTATTGTTTTTCTTGAAGACAAAACCTTGGTCGTTCTCTGCTTTCTGTTGGAATGCAAAGATTCCAGGGAAAAAATCTCAGGAGGGATAGAGAGAGGAAAACCGGTGCAGTTCATGCAGTTGGTAGGATAACGTGGCCTAGAACGTTAGGACTCCTCAGTTGGAAACCTCCGAAGATGCGTCTCTTGCTAGAATTCACAATTAGAGTGGCTGGAATATTTTGTGAATTTGAAAACTATAAGCTAGTTCTTGGAGATAAACCAGGACGTAGCTGGGAGAAGGAATGGTGTACTTAGTTAAGTTCCTCCTTGAGTTTATGGGAGGTGCTTGTATAGGTTTTAGCTCCCAGTGCTTGTAAGGGCACCGGGATGGGTTTGGTTTTTCATAGCAGTTGCAGGGCAGGGATGGTGTTCTGCCAGAATAGCTCTTTCATTGGTAAAGCTGCTCTGCTCAATGAGAGCCTAGCCATAGCTGTCCATTGTGGTTTTCTAAAAGTGATTTATTAATCAAAGAGATACTGTCTGACAAAATCTATTTGTAGTTCTGTATTGAATGCAGCAAGTGCTTTGGGACAAAAAAAAGGAACAAGAATATTTTTTCATTCTTCATTCGGTTTTCAAGGGTGGAAAGACTTTTCGAAGTTAAGTTTGGTGTTTTTAAGTTCAAATCAGTGTTTCAAGAGCAAATTAAATCATGTAAAATGAAACAAACTTGAAAGCAAAACTGTTTGCCATAGTTTATTGCTTTTCTTGGTGTGGTTTCGGGTAGATTCAAGGCTATTTTGGTTTGTTTTGCATTGTTCTCTTATCTCCTTGCTTTCCCCCAAATTTACTTATTGAGCTTGAAGGATCAGTGACTCATGCTGCTCAAAGGCTGTTGTTTTACACAAGCAGCTCCTTTCTTAAGGATTTCCATGAAACTCAATTTCACTTTTTTTTCTTTGTCAGTAATGCAGATTAAGAGGTTGAGAGGAACTGCAGTGTTATATATAGTTTTACATGCAAGAACTTAAATAGGCATACTGCCTTCAAGGAGGAAGTTGGGATTAAAAAAAAAAGAAATAAAAATACTGTGACTAAGAGATAAAAACCATTTCATTGTTACCTCATTTGTGAAAATGATAGCATTTTTTATTACATGTAATATTTTTTTCTCAAATTGATTACAGTTGGATGCAATTCAGAGAAATCAGATGTGGTGGGTTTGTGGTTTTGTTTTGTTTTGTTTCCCCCCCCTCCTTTTCCCTGCCAGTAGGCAGGAAAGAATCAGTGCGGGGAGTTTTTTATTCCGGCTTTGAAGTGTGGTCTCTTTGAACAACCTGCCTGCCCGGTTCGGAATCTTATTCGGATGGCACTGTGATCTCAGTTAATAAAATATTGTTAAACAATGGCTTGAAAACTGTAGGTGAGCTTGCACCGGTAGCCGAGCCGATTTAACAGCTTGACACTGCCAGACAATTCTTCCTCTTTTCTGCCTGTGCACCTTCTACCTCCCCTTGTATCGGCCCAATTCAGAACGCGCTAAGATGTGGCAACTCGCTTAAACTGAGAAGACTAGACCAAAAGAAGTTCTCTGCTGGGGTGTGGAGCTGGGTCTGTTCAGCACAGGGTCCAGGGAGCACCAGAAATGGCTCAATGCTGCTAGAACTGGAGGGTGGCGCCTGGCGGGGAGGGGAGGGGGGGGTTCGGGTCGGCAGAGGATCTGATTCTTCACTTTTGGGGGAGAGGAGTTGTTAAATTGGCTCAGCTCTATGTAAGGCCACTCTTTGAGAAGATTAACGGTGCAAGGTGTTTTTCAGGAGCAAATTGGTGCCCAGAAGTTGAGGCAAACTCTTCCGAGTGCCCCATCCTCCCAGTCGGAACTACGCGGAGGACTTGGGTTGATCCGTCCTCTTAAAGGCCAGAAGTATTTTCGTGTGATCCCTTTCTGCTATTTTATTTTATAGACAGTCTTTTGTTTGTTTGTTTGTTTGTTTTGTTTGAATTGCAGATACAGTAGCTACCAGAACCCGGAAGATGACCTCACCAAAACCCAAGAAAGGCACAGCAACCAGAAAGAGAGTCCAGAAGTAAATAATAGATGGAGCAACAAATTAAATTGCTCTTTGGTTCATCTCTGCTTTTTTTTTTTCAGTTACTGTATCACTGGAATCTTTTTCTTTCTTTTGTAAATGATGAATCTTGTAAAAACATGCACTGCTGTTTGTACCTGTTTTTGAAGAATAAATGTTTTATTAAAATATTTGCATAATTTATGTATACTTAACTACAAATGCAAAATTTTGCCAACTTTGAAGTGAGGATGCATTTTTATTCCTTATATACATGAATTCATATCTTAAAGGCAAACTGAAAGTGGTTTTTTTCTGCCTTGTAATGTAGAAATAAAGCCTTACTTAGTTTTGTTATGGGTAATTTATAAGTAACAGCAGTGTTGCATCTGATTTCTTCTAATTTTGAGTAAAATGTTATTGGGGTTCACCTAGATGTACAGCGAGATGAAGTGTGAAAAGGTAGAGACATCTTTTGAATATTTCTCAAGTGTTTGAATTTAAAAGAGAACATGAGACAAAAAAAAAAAAAATCACATTCTTCCATTTTAGTTTGTTGTAAGATGTTTTTAAACAATTCTCTGGAGGACAGGTAGTGCATTTCAGTTAATTTTTTTTTTTTTTTTTTGCATAGTGTTTGTGTTCATATCGCTTGTTCAGTTATTCACATTTTCTCTGGAAAGGAGACCAGAATTTCAGACATAGGGCCCAGGGCAAAGAGAATAACCAACCAAACCCCACTGCCCCTTCTCAACTCCCCCCCTTCAGATTTTCTATTACATTGGTGGAAAGGCCACCGAAGTTACAATTATGAAGACCAGCTTCATAATTCAAGGGTCTAGTTCCGGTGGAAGCTTGACTCGTGTGTTTCTCATAACAAAATAATGGTTTACATTTTTTTTAGTAGTCGAGAAGCGTGTAAACTTTCTTAAAAGTACTTCCTTGCTTGGCTTTGAGTCTTCTTTCTGGAGTTGCGGGTCAGAAAACGCAGTGTTTAATTTCAGCGTGAAATGTCACTGCTTGTCATTTAGATACTGTGAAAATAGAAGTAATTTGGGCCCGAGCATCGCTCTCATCAGGGAGACTGCCTTTTGGAGTTTGGCAAACCGCAAGGGATCCTGGCGAGGCAGCGGCTGCTGCCCTCGCGCGCGCGGCTGGGTGCTGTCCGAGCGGCTACTCGCGGGAATAAAATATGTTGTAGCATAAAACGTTGAACGAATGATGAGGTTGGGCTTTGAAAACAAGGGAATCCATTGTTTTGAAATAAAACTGGAATAACATAGTTAAAAGCTCCACTGCCTTCTCATTTCTGTTCCGACTGCTGCGCAGACTCGTTTTCCTGGGTGTTAGCAATGTGTGGCCGACGACTTTAAGCGTAGCGTTTTCTTTGTTTCAGATGTAAAAAGAGGACTGCTAAAGGCTCTCTCGTGTTTAAAACTCCTCAAACGAAACTATCATTTTAATTACTTCATTGAGTCCTTTTGTTCAGAAAAAGCATGTTGCGCTCTTCCGAGAGCACACCGTATTCTCGTGCTTGTCTTGCACGCTCAAAGCTCGTGTCCTTCTCTCGCACGTTGGTGCTTGACTTTTGAATTTTTTCAGTAACTTGTCTACCAGCAAGCTTCCTTTCTTTGCTTCCCAAGTTTTCAAGGAGTACGTTTTCTTTTGGCGTTGCCAAAACAAAGCGCAACACCTCAAACGGGCGTTTCCACCTGAAGGGAAGGCTTGGAGGTGCGGGTTTCTGCCCTGGGAGGAATTGGTGCCGGCAAGCGTTGCGTGCAGAGGCAGGGTGCCTTCCACCCGAGGTAAATGTTGTTTCAGGGCTTGTGCGGGGCTGCAGCCTCCCCCGGGCGGGCGTGTCTCGGGTGGGCTGTGGAGGGCGGCGATGTTTTAGCGCGTGGGCTGGCCGGGGTGAGCCGAGGGGAGGGCTGCGGTCACACCTGCAGTGCTGCCCCCCCCGCCTCCCGTCCGGCGTGCGGTGCGGCCGGGCGGTTCCTCTGGTTTGCAAAGCGGTGATGGGGGAATCCGCCGCGGTCTGTGAGGAGGCGGAGGGTGCGGTGGGTTTTTGTTGACACCCCCCGTTTGAAAGTAAAGTCCCTAACACAAAGGAAGCAAGCTGCCTTTAGACTGCGTTTACTGCTCTTGATGACTCCAGTTGTGTGTAAATATTAGAAAACAGCAGGGTCCTGCATTCCAAGAATCACTTGAGCAGCGCCATGAAGACAAGTGTCCTTACTGGTATTGTAGTCGTACTCCCAAGCTCTCCTGCTGTTTCTAATCTGTGCGCACAGCCGTGAAAAAACTGGACTGACATTTACAGGCACAGCAGGGAGACACTTGAGTAGGGAATGTTAAAGACTCCGCTACCTATGTTTCAAAGTGGCCACCGTACATGATAAATCTTCACAGGAGAACTGGTCGGCACTTCAGCTGATGGTGTAATGAGGATATTGATAATGAAGCACAGAATGCTGCTTCTAGCGCGGGAGCGTTTTGCAGACAGATTGTTTATATTTTTCCCCCTAATCGAAAATATCTGGAGAGAGAATCGAATTCAGGATGGGTGTAAGGTAGTTTTTAGATGAGTTGATAATTTTTACAGGGTTATTTCCCAATAAGCGAAGATAAAATAATAACATAATTCCCAATGTCTGTCGCAGCCAGCATTAAGAAGGGGGTCAGTTGCTTCCCTGAGTAGCTTGACAGCCTTTACTCACTGTTTTGTCCCAGTGAGCTGCCAGATTTGGGATGCCATAATACCAGTAATGCAATTAGGTTTTCTGCACGTTGTCTGGTTGACTTCTCAGTTAAGAGTTTCTTTCCCTTTGGGAATAAGACTAGACAGACTGTCATTTGCTATTACTAATTCTGCTTAGCATTATCACTGGAGCTTTTTTGTAATTAGCTATCTTAGTTGGCTCTTAAATTTTAATAGCCAATTGAAGCTACATTTTAGCCAAGTTCCATATCTAAATTGCATTCAGTCCATTAACAAAGTTGGTTAAAAGGCTATTAAAACAAAAGCCAATATATGGTGGTTAGCACTTACATGTTTGCAGCAGTAGCACTACCAGCCTCCAATGAATATTCTCAAGAAATGGCACTTCCTTTTAGCAAAGGAAGTGCACAGAGAATGACCAAAGTTTTGGGAACAAAAGATGATCACGCAGAAAACTTGTAGAAAGAAAATAGAATTAACGTGTGTCTTTTCTGGAAGAAGGTAGGACAGATGGGGGAGGGGGGAGATGCAGAAAGGGGCAATTAATGGTTCTGCTCAGATTCGACAGGTTCTGAAAAAGCCAGATAAACGAAGTGATGTTTTTCTCCATTTCAGCTGATCAAAATTATTAGCAAAACCATCTGAAGCACCTTCTGGTGGAATTGTCATCTTGCTGAGTTTAGTTTGTAAACCATCCTGCCAGACATTAAAAAAACTGTAAGCATGCCAGCACATAGGCTCAGAGCACCGCTTCTCTAATTGATAGACCCTATAATTTTCTTTTTTTACTGAAGACCATGGCTGGATAGCTCAGCCTCCCAAGTAATTTAACGTAACATCAGTCTGAATCTTTTATCCCTAGTAGCACTTGTTTAAATTACATTTTTCTCCTTTTTTCTTTCTTAAGGTGTAGGCAGGAGATTAACAGTCTGGATCATCCTGTGACAAACAATGGCTTTCTCAGACTATTCTGCTTTAAAAAAAAAATAAAAATCTTTACTGTTGTGGAGACATCAGATATTAATACTTCTACGGTTTTAACAGAGAGTCTACCAGTTGCTGACGAGTTGTTTCAAGGATGGTTTGCAGTGCCCCGTATGGATGGTGATAAGTATCAGTAGCTTAATTCTAGGAAGTGAGAGGAAAATCCCAGATTATGTGTGAATAACCAGTAGATGTATGTTTTTTTTACCAGCATACGCAGCGGGACATCCAAACTGGAGTTTCCGTAGCGCACCAGTTCCACTGTTAGACAGTACAGAGGGCTGGTGCTCACCGGGCCTGAGTCGGATCCCACTGCTTGTGGCTTCACCGCAACGTCAAACTGGCAAACTCCGGGGCAATATGTGCCAAATCCTTCACCTCCCGTGCTGTTTTGGGGGTGCTGGGCCCTGCGGGGATCAAGTGCTCAAAGGGATCATAGATCTGCTTTGCCTGACTGAGGGTTGACTTGCATGATGCCCCTTCTCGTAGGCAGGGAGAAAGCAGGTGTGGTAGGACCAACCTCTCTGGGAATCCTCGAATCCCGGCCGTGATCTCATGGATGGATTTGTGCAACCGGACGATAACTCACATGCGCTTCAGTTTTCTTCCCTGATGTTTTCAAGATCGAGCAGCTGAAGGTTTAGAAAGGCTCCTTTGCTTCATTTCAGGCCTCTTTTATCTCTGTGGATGATAATTTTATAGCAAGTTTTGGTGTACGTTTTGTTGGGGTTGTTTTGTTTTGTTTTTTTTTTTTTTTTTTTCCTGACAGGATATATAGAAGAGGGAATGTACTGTTTCTGTGAACTGAGTTTTGCCTGAATGCAGAGTAAGCCAGACAGCTCAGAGAAATGCCGCAGCTCTACTTGGATGCGACAGACTAATTCTCTCTACACTGACGTGCCATGTTTTTAAACATGAAGTCACCAGCAGTACTGCACTTGTACTTCTTTCTGGCTGTCTGTGTTTCATCTTGCACTAACCAAAACCTGTCTTCTTTCAGACCGGAGCACGTCCTGCCCGTGTAGGCTTCCATGCCAGATTTTAATGCCCTTGCATTTAGGTCCACTGCCTATAGATACCTGAGGTATTTTCAAACGGACCTCAAGCTCCGCAACTGCCTAAGCTGCTGACAAGTGAATCCTGACAGCTTTTTCTTCACCATTGTGAATGCTGCAACAAGCCAAAACTGAGGTTTTGCGTTTTCTCAGGGATACCCAAAAGGGTAAAAGACTTGTGGAGGAACTGTCATTTGACGGGAGAAAGATTGCCTCCCGTATTTCTACCCCTTGTCTTGGAAGGTCAGCTTTCCAACCCTGCAGACCTTGGCTGCTGTGATGGGTTTTCATAAGTATACTCAAAAGAAAAGCGATGAGAACACATCGAGACAGCTGTGAAGTGCAGTAGAAGCGAAAAGAAAATATACATTTTAATGAACTTTCCTGAACTAATTCCTTTTGCCAGAGCGCTCCAGACAGGAAGAAGCTGGCACAGTGGTAATCTGCATCTGTAGGTTCCGAGAGGAGAAAAATGCTTCCTTGGCAAACGGAGCAACAGACCTAGAAAATTAAGGATTAATAATGTTCATTTGTATAGAAGCAGTGAGAACACAATAACATGAAGTACAACCAAGGAGGATGCATTTAGAAGACAAAAGAGCCCTGGAAGGGAAGGTGCTTAGCTTTGTTCAGAATGCAAACTCTAACATGCAGTTCTGGGAATTGGTGAATTGCACAGCTGAATGTTAAGAGAAACTACTTCACACCACAAGAAATACATGATCTGTGCCTTGAAGACCTGAAGGTACTTTCCTTCTCCTTTCTGCCAGGAGAGGAGTGGAACACTGGATCTACTTGAAAGTAAGTAACCCTCCAGGTAATTTTGTCTATCTGCTGCTAAACCTGAGCAAAGATAGTTTATTAGTAAAACTGAATTCCTTTTTGAAAACAGACACATCTATTAAAACAAAGCCTATGTTCTTACTGGTCTCTCGTTAGGGAGCTGGTTCCTTTGGAATGGTGAGGGTGGATCTGCACTGGCAAGTGTGCAATCCCTGACTCACTTCTAATAATGCTTAGCGATGGCCACAGCGGAAGGTATACAGTAAACAGCCCCATGTTTAGAAGATAATACGGTGCCGAAAATATCTGAACGTGGTCTATCTGCTAGTTCCTTTTGTCACTGACAGAGCTGATCACCAGTAATTTATAGGCTTTGTTTTTTTTTTTTTTTTGTTTTTTTTTTTTTTTTATAATCAGTGTTGTCAAACCTGAAAAGAGGTGGAATTTAAAACTCATCTCTTATCCAGACCCGGTGTCCCGTGATATACCACTCTAGAGACTGGCAACGCTTTTTGCCTCTTGTCTTCCTACATTAGCTGGTTCCATGTGTGGCAGTGAGCTATCTTACTGATTGCTTGCTTCCTTTCCTCAAGCCAAAGCCCTACTAAAAACAATTTTGAAACTCATCATCCATCCCTGGTATAAGCGCAGCACAAGCTTTTCTCTGTTTCTGACCTGAATATTTTCTTCTCTGAGCGGAAACTGTTCTGTTTTGGGGGTAAATTCCAGCTGCTTACATGGCAAGCCT